TCGCTGTACCGTCGTCAACTCTGACAATAATTTCAACACTCTTCCTCTGCAAAGCCGGAATCTCTCGCGAGCAACTCACGATAACTCCGAGGAATATCTTCCCCTTGTGAGTCCATTCGTCCGCGGCGACGGAGAAGACTGCCGTGCCCATGAATTGCAGTATGTTCTCCTTCAAAACTTCTCGGACGCGGAAATACTCGGGTTTCACACAGCTCGCTGCGATGTTCCCCTTGAAGAACCCGAGTCCAGCTTTCTTGAATATTCCCTGTATGGTTCCATTGCTGGAGCTGTTTGCTGTAAGCACACCCTTCGACAGCAAGCTAGCCACAATTCTGCCCCTGTTGTCGAATGTCAGCATCGACGTATCAAGATGCTTCGATGACGCCTATTGTCTGCGGCGTCGTTTGTCCTCCGACTTTGTTCCGTGGAACTTTGTTGTTTGTGACTTTGTTCCGTGTTTGTGCATTTCATCACATTTGTACTCCCCTTTGAATATGTCAGCTTCTTGCCGCACTCCGTGCAGAGCACGTGATTTTTACATCGGAGGAGGTCCAAAAGCCGCCAAAGTTCCTCCTGGAAAAGAGATCCATGGAAAGCTTTAGCCCATGGAAAATCGAGGTCAATCGGCTGTCTTGCCGGGGCTCCTTCCCGCCGGGATTCACTTCCCGACCGCGGGAGATAGCTTCATATTCGGAATCAATCGTCAGAGTCAGCAACTCGAGCCTTGAGAGCTCATCGTTAAGCTAATAATACGCATATATCCAATGACACCCGCCAGGCCATTCGGATAGGAACTGACCAGACTCACTCAGTCAGATTCGCTCGCAGACGTGTTGCTCAAGACGCGCCTCGTTTTCGGACTAGACGGTCGGACCTCGGAGGGGTCGAGGCTTCGATCTGGGTGGGATTCGGGACATGGTAAGGTGTTCGAGTCTTCGCTAGAGGTGTCGCTGGATATGCGCCTCCTGCGCCTGCACACAGTCGACGTCCTCGACGTCGAGGCACGAACTTCGAAACCTAGGGAGAAGAATAGTGAGGACGAGTTCTTCCGGAAGGGATCGGCTCGAATCGATCCAGAATCCGGGAACGCTCACCTTTTGGGGACAAAATCATATAAGAGCTCAGCGAGTGCTGGTTTTAGCTTCTTTTTCGACTCTGGCCATCCTTGGCGCACGGTTTCTATGAGTTATCTGTTTTCTTCGCTCTCTCGCGCTTGTTCGCGGAGGAGCTCGACCGTGAGATCTCTCATCGGCAGAAGTCGCACGATCCTGATCTCCTCTTGGATCCGGGGACTCCCCTCCATCGAGAAAGAGCATCTGCGAACTTCATTTCGCGACCAGGCCTGTAAAAAAGTTTCGCGTTGTATTGCTGAATATCCAGCAGCATTCGTTGGAGTCGACGAGGAACGTCGTCCAGGGGTTTCTCCACAATGTTTATGAGCGGTCTTTTTTTTTGTGGGGTGAGCGCACCTGCGATCACCTAGTTTATTATTTTATGGCGATCGTTCGTCTATCTACATTATGTACAACCGTTTATGAGCGGTCTGTGATCAGTGAACACTGTTACCAACTTCGGATATATGAAGTATCGAAACCGATTAACGGCGTACTTGATGGCGAGAAGTTCCTTCTCTATCTGTGCATACCTGGTTTCTGTCGTGCTCATCGCTCTGCTAGCGAAGTACACGGGTCGGCCCTCCTGGATCAGGGCCGCCCCCAGCCCGACCTTGCTGGCATCACACTCTATCTCTACTCCTTTTTCCACATCAAAGAACGCCAGGATTGGGCTCCGCCTAACCATCGTCGTCGCCCTTTCGAAAGCGTCCTTCTGTGGAGCTCCCCATTTCCATTCGCGCCCCGATCTGCACAGTTCCCGCAGCAGGCCGAGCACCTGTGCCAGATCAGGTAAGAATCTTGATATGTGAGCCAACATCCCGCGGAAACTCTTGAGGCCTACCACGTCTCTCGGTGCTCTTATGTCTGCTAGCCGCTTCTACTTCCCCGAGTCGATTTGAAGACCGCGTTCCGTGAGGATGAACCCGAAGAATGTGTCCGGAGTTTTCAGCGTTGTCTTCTCTCTGTTCAGCTTGATGCCATTTTCTCGGCAGCGTAGAAGGAATCGGCTCAAGTTTCTGTCATGGTCTAGTTCGGCCTCTTCTAGCGTCTCTCCGCGTCCGCATACCAGGAAGTCGTCCGCCAGGGCGTGCGTGCCCTCCAAGCCTTCCAGCAGGTGTACAAAGTTCTCGGAAAATATTTCCGGCGCGACACTCAGCCCGAATGGCATCCTGAGGAAACGAAAACGGCCAGACGGCGTCTGGAAGGTGGTTAGTTGGCTGCTTTCTTCGTCCATTTTGCAGTGCCATAAACCATCGGTCAAACTTTAGAAAACAGCTTCACCTTGCTCAGGTTCGGGAGGATTTCGTCAAACGCCGGCGTATGGAACATCTCCCTCATTAGAACTTCGTTCAGTTTTCTTGGGTCGAGGCATATCCGGAGATAGCCATTTTTTTTCACTTGTATCGAGAGGCGATTCACCAATTGTGTAGGATGATCGACTCTTTCGATGACCTCACGTTTGATCAGCTGCTCCAGCTTCTGTTTCAGCTGGCTTCGCAGATCCGGTGGCGCCGTGCACGAAACGTTGCACGATGGCACGGCGTGCGGCTTGACTGTTAGCCTGACCTCGCCCGGGAACATCCCCAGCTCCCCGTCGAACACCCCCGGATATAGTCTCACGAGTTGCCTCATCTTCTTTTCGCTGTCGCTCTCTTTTCCGGCTCCGCTCATGTGCTCTGTCACGGAATCTATCTGGCTGTAATCAACGCTCAAGATGCCCAATTTCTCCGACGTGGATCGCCCCAAGATCGGCTGGAGTTCCTCCCGCACTACTACGTACTCCACCTCGTGTTTCTTGCCTGTATTCAGCTGTGACAGCGTTATCTTCGTCTTCCCCAGCGAGCGGAACGTCTTTTCGACGTAAACACGCAATTTTGGTCTGATCGTTGTATTGAGTCGAGCTTGCGGGACTCGCGATATCGGTACGACGTTGCAACTCGCTCCACTGTCGATCTTGAATCGGGTCACTCTTCCGTCATTTTCCCGGACCGCACATTTCATGTAGATCATTCGGCTCCATTCGGAGCACACCGCATATATGAGCTGCAGCTCTCCACTCTCTGTTGGCGTTTTGAGCACACCGCCGCAAAGTGGTTGAACTTCCCGCAAACCGCACACTGCTTCCCTCTGGCTGGGCAAGTCGCGTGCCCCGGACGATGACCTTTCGCGCAGTGCCGACACCGGATTTGGGGGCCTTACTCCTGGTTCGCCTGATTGCGACCCTGCCAGCTGTTATTGTTTGGATATCTCTTCGCGCCGCCGCGTCCGTTGAATCGTGGACGTCTCTCCGTTAGCGCAAACGTGTCTGCTTCGGGGGCGGCGGCACCGTCCCCCTCGATCGTCCGCTCTGTCCTCGGCGCTCCTGCCATTTGGAAGCTCTTCAATTGGGTAGCCGAATTGTCCATCGCGAGACAAATATCTAATCAAAAATCTTTGATCGGGGCCCTGAGTGAAGACACTGCCTCGTGCTGCAGATGCTAGACACCGACTGACTCCTGTGCGTAGTTTATAATGATTAGAGCCGTGGGCTCGAGCATTAATGAATAAGCAAAATAAGCGCTGAAAAATAGCAAGATAAGCTCTCAAAATAAGCAGAATGAGCGCTCAAAAATAGCAGAATTAGCAATTTAATCATCAGGCGGGGGGACGTGAGGAGGCACGATAAGCTCGATAAATCCCCATTCGATCATTCGAATCGTAGGGAGACTGCCTCGTCGTGAATACGTCGTTTGGACTGATTTCTCCTAAAATGATGCTAACAGAGCTTGCGATTTGGATATGAGTGTAGGGACTAGGATGTAAAGCAATGCGAGAGAAGAAGGATAAACTAGATATTTATTCGAGGTGTGCCCGACAAGCATCATTCGAGATGCGAATTGCAATATATGACAAGCATCATCTTCAGATTATCGAATGTCAGGCATTGGCGTCGATCATTCAAGGTGTATTTCAGAATCGAGAAGCTCCTTTCTACATCAGTGGACGTTATCGGCGCGAAGCGAAAACACGCGAGTTCTGACGGAGTATAAGACCCCAAGCCTTGTGCTAACCGCCTTCCCCGCAGAACGTCCGCGATTGACCGAATTCCTGCGACGTCGGGGTTCTTCTGTACAACTGGATTGACTCTCTCTTGAGAGGCTACGACTCTCTCTTGTCCGTCCTCTACCTGAACCAATGCTGCCCCTAATCCCGTTCCACTCGGTACATGACGATTCGGCGCCGGACAATTCGGCGCTGGAAAATTCGGCGCGGATAGTTCGGCGCCGGACAATTCGGCGCCAGGGATGATTCGGCGCCGGACGATTTGGCGCTATAGGTTCTGAAGCTGGGAAACAATTAAGGCTGAGAAAGTCCCCTTGATCCCAAGCTCAGGGGGAGTTTAAACTCATAGACTCCGATATACCTATGTATAACTACGCCGCCCCTCGTTCAGCGGCGGTGGATGCACTCGCACGTGCGACGTCGCCGTCGCGTCGTCGAGAGACGCGCGATACACGATATCGAGAATCGTGCGCTTCTACGCAAGTCGACGGCGAGCGCGATCGGATCGCAAGAATTCCCGCAGGACTCAACGAATCGATTGGGCGTATATTCAGGGGGATTGGGTCATCGGCTGTTCGAGAATATTGCTCAGGATTCCAGTTCATTCATTCCCGACGATACAGCCGGAACCGCGTATGTGTCTATTCCAGGCGGCTTCAACTCCAGATGCGTGTCGAAGCCTCGGTTCCCTTGCTTCTCACGTCAGATAACAAAAAATAAACGCTGAGGGTTTCCAGGGACGAAAATAAACACTCGCTTCCAGAGAGCAAACTCACTCGACCGCTTTCTTCGCCTTTGTGAAATTTCCCTTAATCCTCAAGCTCTGCTCGTAGACTCCTTGCGATGGAAGCTCCTTCTAACTTCGAAGCATCTCAGATCATGCAAACAGAGCGTGGAAAGCTGAAGTTGGCCTTCCGTGGACGTATGTACACTCAGGACAAGAGGAACTCCATCGGCATCTTACAGTTCTGGCGATGTGAGTTCAAAGACAAATGCAGGGCCCGACTGCACACGGCTGTGGGGACTGACGAGGTTGTGAAAGTCGTCGGGGAACACAGCGATCCAGCCGATGCTGCATATGTTGAGGTCGCTGCTGGCAACTCCGAGCTCAAGCGTCGAGCACTCTCAACTCAAGAAGCTCCTTCCCAGCTGCTGAATAATCTTGCGGCGAGCTTAACCGTTGCTGGCCGGGGATGTCTTCCGAAGCACGATTCTATCAAACGGAGAATTAATAGAATGCGCGGCGAGAACTCTCAAGCGCCCGCTTGTCCGACTGACCGAGCTTCTATAATTATTGTACCAGAGGCCTACACCATGTATCAGTGCGAGCCAGGAGCTTCAGAACGCTTCCTCCTGGGCGACTCTGGCGTCGGGGATGAGAAGCGAAGTCCGATCTTCGGTCGAGAGTCGGCTGCTGAGTGGGTGGCTGACGCACAGCGAATTCACGTCGATGGGACTTTCAGTCTAGCTCCGGGACAATTCGAGCAATTATTCGTGATCCTCGCCGATCGTGGAGGGTACGCCATTCCCTTGTGCTACGGGCTGCTTCCAGACAAGTCGGAAGAGTCGTATCGTCAAATGCTCGACCTCATCATGGAAGCCTTCCCGGCTCTCAATATTTCGTCAATCGCCATGGACTTCGAAATGGGTCTCATAAACGCTTTCAAGGCGGTTTTCCCGACCGCTGAAGTCCATGGTTGTCTCTTTCACTTGGTGAAGAATATGAAGAAAAAAGTTGCATCGTTCAATCTCGCGCCTTTTGTCGAGCGCACCTCTGAATGCCTGAAGTCGGGGCATTTGTGCTCAGTTTGACCCGAGATCGACTTGTCCTTCTTCCTCCGATCAATTCATCTTTGACATCGCTGACTTCCATAGTTTCCCGGTTTGAATACCTTCTGACTCGGCGCCGAATTATCCAACGCCGAATCGTCCTCGGCGCCGAATTATCCGGCGCCGATCGTCCGCGCCGAATTGTCTTGCTCCGGTTCCACTGGCATCAGTTTGAAGCAACGTCTCCAATCCATCTTGAAAATGACGTAGATTAGGTTCTGCCATGATACGCTCTTTGATTTGTCGGAATACGCTCTGCTTTGACTCTCCCCACTCGAACGGAGTCTCAGTTAACGATTCATATAGTGGCGCCGCAAGTCCAGCGAAATTCTTTATGAAACGTCGGTAGTAGGAAGGAAGTCCTCCTTAATTCTTTCACGTTTGTAGGAGGGCACACTTTGGCTACCGCACTGACTTTTTCCGGATCAGGTGCGATACCTTGTGGTGAAGCTTTATGTCCCAAGTAGGTTACCTCTGACGTCGCAAATAAACACTTCTTGGCTTTTAGTTTAAGTCCTCTTCGCTGAACGGCCGAAAGAACTTTCCTTAGATCGGTGAGGTGAGATTCGAAGTCTTTGGAATATATGATGATATCATCCAAGTAAACGAGAGCCATCTGATACTTCATAGTTCTGTGCGAAATTCCGCGCGTCACATCCCGTGGACTCGATCAGAGAGAACTGCTCAGGGGGGGTTTCCGACCAGATTGGATCTCTGATCGGCGGATTCCTGGTCGGCAAGAAGGGCTGGGATTCGGAAGCCGCGACCACCGCGGTGAGGAAAGCCAGAGAACCCGGCATCTGCGAACGAAACTGCGTCGACTCCTGTTTAACCCGACTAGGAAGCGTCGACGGACTTGACGCCACGGATGTTCTCCCTCGGCTACCGGAGCCGGACGGTTTCTGGAGCAGTTCGCAGCGATTGATTACTCGGATTCCGGGCGTTACTCCAGCGCCTGATCCTGAATGGGTCCGAAAGTTCGCAGCCCAGCTGTGTGGTCACCGAGAGCCGGGATTCCCAGGCACTCCCCACTCGCGCCTGAGCCGAGAGACTTTGCCGAAACTCTCAGGAGCGACCTACAAGGTCACCTGGGGATCGGAAGGTCTCCGCTGCCTGCTGCTGATTACGAATCCAGGCGTCGTGTACCTCTTGGCAAGCGGAACGAAGCCTACCGAGTTTCCGGCTTGACTTTCCCCCACTCGGGGAGCACCTCGAAGCAGATTCTCACTACGCTGCTCGACGGGGAACTCGTGTTCGACCAAGACGCGGGTAAAAGCAGACCACGCTTCCTCATCCACGATATTCTGCATTTCCGATGCAGCGCAGTAAGGACTTCTTCGTCTCCAGTTGTCCGATCCTTGATTATTAGTTTCGATGTGTACAAGAGGACATCTTCAGTTCTCTGAGAAGTGATTGTTTCTTCCGAATGAAAGTAGTGAAGGTCTCGTTCGGTTGTCGTTTACGATTGTAGTATTCTGAGGGGTTCGGTCTTTTTCCTTTCGGGAAGCGGGCGAAGAACTTCTGTTTGAAGTTTTCCCAGTTGGAGCGAGGGCCCACTTCCGTCACGAACCAGGATTTGGTATCGTCATCCATAACGCGGTATGCTATACGAAGGAGTCTCTGTTCGGGCCAGCCCTTCATGCATGCATCCATTTCCAATCTTTTGATCCATTTCTTGGGTTTCTCATGGTCGAAAGGGGGGAAATCGGTAACCGGTGCCAGACCTTCGAGGAGCGCCGGGAGGGTTGTGGGAGATCACCAGTGATTCACCACTATGACACTGAGAATACGTCTAGCAGAGTCAATGGCGGATAGCCGAATGTTTATTACACATCGTCGTTCTCACTACACACCTCCCCCCCAGTGTTGCCGTCAACACGGCGGTCAGTGACCGCCGTCACGAAATCTTGAAGGTGCCTAGGAGGGCGCGTGTCCCGGCTGGATCTCCTGGGAGGAAGCGGGGGTATCGGTGACGGCGTCGCGTCGAGATTTTCTGTCTCTTCCAGGTTGGCGCGCTTGAGACGGTCCACGGTCACGTGATCCTCTCGGCCATCCAGGCCCAGCTTGAAGGTTTTCGGGCCCGTATCCAGGACGCGGAAGGGTCCCTCGTAGCGACGAGACAGCGGCGTTTTGACGGCGTCAACCCGCACGAAAACGTACTTAGCGGCCTCGAGCGGAGCGGGGATGCCTCCGGCGTCGGTTCCGTTCTGCCACTGCGGAGGAACCGGCATGAAGGCGTCGAGGCGATCTCTCAGCTGATGTAGGCGTTGCTCCGGGATCTCGGATGCTTTTTCCTGTATGAATTCACCAGGAAGTCGAAGCGATGCACCGTATACGAGCTCGGCACTCGAACATCCCAGATCCTCTTTGGGCACCGTGCGCATACCGAGTAACACCCAGGGGAGTTCCTTGACCCAAGTTGATGTTGCAAGTCGTGCTTTCAGGGAGGCCTTTAATTGCCGGTGCATGCGCTCTACCATTCCGTTTGCTTGAGCATGGAGAGCCGTCGTCCGATGTAATTCAACGCCGAGAGCTTCTGCGAGGTGTGTCCAAATGTGAGAGACGAATTGCCCGCCCCGGTCTGAAGTGATGGAACACCGAAGCGTGCAACCCACGTGTTCAGGAAGGCCCGAGCGCAGGCTTCGGCGGATATCTCTCGCAAGGGCGTAGCCTCAGGCCACCTGGTATACCTGTCAACGACGGTGAAGAGGTATTGGTAACCGTTGGAGTAAGGAAGCGGCCCGACTTTTTCGACGTGGACATGATCGAAGCGCGTCGGAGGCAGTCGGAATTTGCCGAAATCGCTCTCAATGTGGCGGTGTATCTTGGCCTGCTGGCACGCGACGCACGTCCTTGCCCATTGCCGTATCTCTCTCGCAAGTCCGCGCCAAATGAAGCGTCTTGCAATCAGCCTAATCGAGGCATTGGCTCCTGGATGCGATACGCCATGTAGTAGATCGAACACTCGGCGACGCCAGCTGGAGGGTAGCCACGGCCGTGGGTTGCCTGTTGAGACGTCGCAAAGGAGGACCGGTGCGCCTGGCGTCCATTCGATGTCTTCCCATGTGAGGTTTGTATCAGCCTGCTGACAGGAGGCATACTCGGGGTCTGTTTTCGTAGCGGACTACGAACGAAGTCAAATCAAGCGCGGGGAGACAGTGAAGCGTATGGTACTCACTCCGCTTCAGAATCAGTAATTCTTCGGGCGATGGACTCACTCATTGGTCCCAGGTTAGCGAGCAAGAATAGTTTGCGGATCACGAACGTGCTGAACACACGCAATGGCATGTTCAGCACAGTGACCATTGTACCTACGATTCAAGCTTTCATTTCTTCGGCTCTTCTCAGGTTCCTCGATTTCTTGTGCATCGCCACGTTCTTTACGAGGCCGCTCTTACTTTGATTGGCCGTTTTTATCTTGGCGGGGCAGCTTTTACACTGCTGCACGTCGTCGACGGCACTAGGCTCGAAAAAGCTCCAGACCGGATCTGCGGACGAGGTTGTGATGTGTGGCGAGGGTTAATACTTATAATTTTTCCCAAGGTTTAGCGTCCCGGGTACTGTTGTTCACATTGCTTCCGAGGACGGATACATAGAGCAAATGTATCCAGGAGGATCAAAGCCGAGTACCTGCATATTTTTCCGGCAACAGGGATCGAACCCACGCTAACTTCCGCACGAGCGGCGTCGTTGCGGCATTCCACGAAGTGAAACGCACGTTTGCACGAGAAGTGACGAACGAGCAAACCTTGTCGACCACCCGTCGGTGTGGCGAGATACCACCCGAGGGTCAGCGTATGCTCCAAGATGAGGCCTCAATACAGTAAAAGCTCGTTATAACGACCCCCATTACAACGAATTTCTCGGTACAACGAACAAGGAATTTCTCCTGCTCTGGCCAGCTCGCCATAGGGATGGTGTTGAGTTGCATTCGTTTCAGCGAAACTTCGGTACAACGAACCAGTTTCGTCGGTCCCTTCGTGTTCGTAGTAACGAGCTTTTACTGTATATGACTCGAAACTATCTGACTCGTTGGTCGGCAAACCACATTAAGTCCACTATCATCCCTGTATCGAGCCGCGATTCAGGCTAATTCAGCGATCCTGGACTCGGCCGAACACATGCCAAGGATGTTTACAGGTCACAATAGAAGCTTCGGTAGATTTTCGCAATTGAAGCTTCGTCGGATACCTTTCTACACGGGAGCGAGATACTCTAAAGATTATGTCGATAGATCAGAGTTCCGGTTCCATCTCTCCCGTCGGTACCAACATGGGATCATGACGACCCGCCGTCTGGGAGAGAAACTGTCTATTTTCGAGAAGGCCCGACTGATGTGGCTGAGCGAAAGGTGTGAAAGGTGAAGCCTGAGAGAAAATGCTGGAAGAAGACAGATTCCACTCAAGCCTCCCGAACGAGTGCTATTCGAGATACTCGGAAGCCCGCTGCCGAGCTGGCGTCTGCCCATCCACTAGTGAATTCCGGCTTTCAAGATTCAGAGGGGCTCTGAACCCTACCCGCTGAAATGCTCCCCAAAGAATTAAGCCTCCGTTTTTTTTCTCTGACAAAGTTTGATTTATTGAATTCGAGCTGATTTGATGAACAATGCGGCCATCACGCTGGGGCTAAGAGCCTGAGTATTCTATTCCCAATCTTCGTATTGATCGTCCTCATCGTCTGAGGCCAACATGTCATCTATGTTGGGATTGTCACATTCTTCCAACTCGCGCAAAAACTCCTCCTCTTCCGGATCCACGAACTCCTTGAAGACGATGCGCAAACCTCTCGCCGGAGCCGGTCTGAGATCTGGTTCCGATGGCTCCGGAATCGACGCTTCCGCAAGGGAAACGTTGGTGCAGTCATCTTCGGTGATGATTTCCTCCGGCTCACTCGGGATCGGAAGGTCTTTTTCTCGATGATATCTCCGTTCAATCGATGGAATTGATTGAAGTCCGCGAAGAATCTCTCCAAGAAAGCGATAA